CTTTAGCCAAGGCTGTGATATCTTTCACATCATTTGAGATTTATACTATCTTTTTCCTTGTGGTTACACTAATACACACTCAAGGAGAGTCTATATTGGTACCTTCTCTTGCAATTCTTCTAAGTTCTTTCGGTGATGGATTCTTAAAGCCCCCTTTTCACTATTAAAGGGTCCTTCACAAACGTTGGATCATTGGAGAGGCATGTTGTATTTTTCTAAGCAAAAATGTGTCATGCCTTTCCTGACAACTCAATAGTTTGAAAGCATTGATTATACTGCCATCTGCCAATCTATGGAAGAAGGTCTGAAATGGGAGTATACTCAACACATCATACCTGGTCAGTCTGGGAGGGGGTCAGCAGTTAAACATAACACCACTGTGGGCTCCATACTACTATGCACTACTACTGTGCACACAATCATACATAGTACAAGCCCCCAATAATCCTCTTGGATTGGCCTTTGATTAACATCACTTTGTTAGTGGGTCTCTGCCACAACACACTATTCTTTTCTTTTTTGCTATAGGGCATATACACTTGCTGGAGAGAGAGAGAAAGAGAAAGGGAAAGTGAGAGATCATCCACCTACCCAGGGGACATGGCCACAACCCAATCCCTTCTTCTCCATTTTCCTCTTGGGATTTTGGACATGCATGCACACTCATCTGGAGTAATTTTCAAGCCATTGGGTCCAGGACTCAACTGCAGAGTCGGCCATGGGGAAATCCAGTGCCTTACCACCACACCACCTGCCAGCCCCAAACAACCCACTATTCTTAAATGCAATATAGATTTTTATATACTTTCAATCAATGCGTATTTAATTTTTTTTAAATCTATCTTTCTGTATCTTGTACATATATACATCAGTGGTTTCTGTCCTTGGTTGTAAAATTCTGGAGCATAGATGCTAACATTCCATAGTTTGTTTGTTTGTTCGTTTGTCTTTATTGGCAAAGGGCACATGTGCTTGCCAGAGAAAGAGAAAAAGAGAAAACACCCCTCCATGGGGTATAGTCACACCACAATCTCTTCTCTTTCATTTCTCTATCCTATTAGGATGTGGGGCATACACACATACACACCCAGCATGATTTTTGTGTGTTTTTTAAAAGAATTATTTCTTTCCTTCCCTTCTTTCTTCCTTCTTTCCTTCCTCCCTTCCTATTTGCTATAGGGCACATGTGCTCACCAGAGAGAGGCAGAGAGAGAAAGAGGGAAAGTGAAAAAGCAAGCCACCAAATACAGGACTCAAACCGCAGTCAGCCATGTGGGAATCCAGGGTCCTAACCACCCTGCCACCTGTTGGCCCCCGCAGTGTGTTTTTTAAGCTGCCAGGTTTGAGACCTACACTGTGGTTGGCCATATAGGATCTGACTCCCTCAACCACTAGGATATGGAGTCAGCCTCCACTATTGTCTTAATGGAGCACTTTTGCACAGTGCTATGTGAAATTCGACCCTTAAAACTGCTTTCTAAGCTGGGTATGATGGCACATGCCAATATAGTCAGAGCTACTTGGAGATTGAGGCAGGAGGACCATAAGCTCATGACCAGCGCAGGCAACATAGCAAGATTCTGTTGGAAAGAGACAGATTCAGTGTCATGTAACTACGATCCCAGCTACTGGGAAGGCTGAGGCAGGATGACCGTGACACACAGAGACCCAGTCAAAAATAAATAAATAAATAAAAATCTGATATTGTGATAAAGATACAAGAATCATTACTCAATGGCTTGGAAGTTATTAACCAAGTAAACAGGGGTTTAATTAAGAGATGTTTGTGGTTGGGACCAGAAGATAGCATAATGGTTACATTGCTGAACTCCCACACAGTTGACCAAGGTTTGAGGCCCGGACCCAGCGGCTTAAATCTCATGCCAGGACTGGCAGGTAGCGTGATTGTTAAGGGCACTGGACTCCCATACGGCCAACCATGGTTCAAGTCCCGAACCTGGCGGCTTGCTTTCTCACTTTCCTTCCTTTCTCACTTTCTCTGTCTTTTATTCTGTCCCTCTCCAGTCAAAATTAAAAATAAATAGGGGCCAGCAGGTGGCATGGTGGTTAAAGGCTCTGGACTCCCACACGGCCGACCATGGTTCAAGTCGTGGACCTGGTGGCTTGCTTTCTCACTTTCTCTCTCCCTCTCCCTCTCTCTCTGATCCAACTGGAAAATAATAATAAATGAAGTTAAATAAAATAATTTTAAAAATAAAAATAAGTTAAATAATTCTAAAAAACAAACAAACAAAAACTCATGCTGGATGTGTGTGTGTGTGCTTGCGTGCCCAAAATCCAGAGAGAAGAGTGGAGGAGAACGAATTACGGAGTGGCCATCCCCTCGTGGGTGATTTCATGCTTTCTTTCTCTCTGTCTCTGTCTCTGTCTCTGTCTCTGCAGTAAGCACACGTGCCCTATAGCAAAAATCTCTCTAAAAGAAAAAGATATCTGTAGTCAATCCTTCTGTGACATTGTCTACCTTTGGCAATGAGTCTGCTGAATATTCATCTAGCACACATATGTGACTTTAGTACTATAAAAACAAGGTCTGCATAATTAAAAAAATCTCATTTTAGCAGGGCCTAAGATCATTGGCCTGAATTTCTGCCCCTACCATCTGATCAGTGTGTGATCCTTCTTTAAGGAGGATCATTCATTGGGACCAACAGTTGGTATAATGGCTATGTTGCTGGACTCCCATGTAGTCAACCGCGGTTCAAGTGCCGGACCTGGTGACTTAAACTCACGCCGGGTGTGTGTGCGTGCGTGCCCAAGATTCTGAGAGGAGAATGGAGGAGAACGGATCGCGGCGTGGCCATCACCCCCCAGGGGGGTGATTTCTCGCTTTCTATATCTCTATCTCTCTCTGTCTTTCTGGTGAGTGCAAGTCCCCTATAGCAAAAATCTCTCCAAATAAATAAATAAAAGGAGGATCATTCATTAAGGCTTATTGTCTAGGAGCCGGCAGGTGGCATGGTACTTAGGGCACTGGAATCCCACATAGCTGACCATGGTTCAAGTCCTGGTCCTGGTGGCTTGCTTTCTCACTTTCCCTCTCTCTCTCTGTGTCTCTCTCTGGTTGAATTTTAAAAATAATAACAATGAATAAAATTAAATAAAATAATTCTAAAGAAAAAACTAAATAAAACTGTAAAAAATATTTATTGTCTAGAGGTCCACAGATGGTGTGGTGGTTAAGGTTCTGGACTCCCACATGGTCCACTGTGGTTCAAGTCCCGGACCTGGTGGCTTGTTTTCTCTCTCACTGTGTCTCTCTGGTGAGCACACATGCCCTGTAGCAAATTAAATAGTAATAATGATCAATGAACAAAAGATTTATCATCTAACCTCTTTGTCAGACTCGATGAAAGCTGAGCCTGTGGTTAACTGCGGCTGACCCTTATACTAGGATCCTACGCTAGTTAAAGGCCTCATCTCTACAATTGCTATAGAAACTGTTCACTTCTTGTCTTTCTACAACCACTTCTGGCTTTCTGGCTCTCTGTTTCCACAAGGCATTCTTTTCTGACTATAGAAGGGGAGGCCTGGACATCTCTCTGTGCTCCTTTCCAGACTCAGATCCATAAAGGGGGAGAGTGCAGTGGAATATCATCTCATGTGTCATGCAGAGTGAGGTACCCCCTCCATCTAATGTTCTGTCTGTGTCTTATTCCCCTTTCTCTGCTACAAAAGGATTTTCAGGGCCAGATCCAAACTGGTTGCAGAATGGACTGGCTGTTTTGCTATAACGCAGGCTCCATGACAGGTACCAGGATTGCTGTGAGGTACTTAACACTGAGACACTGCCCAATTAGAAAGTGGCTCACAGGCATTCTTGCTGAATCAGATACTGTGTTTCTTTCTACCCTGTACCATACCCAGAGCAGAAGGCAAATGGGATAAAAAAAACAAGTGCTGCTGGAGCTCAAGGGTGTGACAGGCTCTCTGACACATGCGTGTACAATTTACATTGGGTAAAAGATGTAGTGCAGAGTAGGGTGTGGAGACACACTGACGAATGGGGCCAGGTAGACTACAACACTATTTTTACAAAAAACGTTCACGGCAGTAATAAAATAGTGTCAGACCACCTCAGTCCCCTTTTCCATCCCCTTGTTCTTCGGTTTTGGAGCGTCCATCTCTTCTTTGGTTCAAACAGTGCCCCTCTGTTTCGAGAACGCCCCAGGGGAAGGAACACCACAGTCTCCCACCTCACTGTGGCACATCACTTGTGGTTGAGGTCCTCCCTGGGCTTTACTCAATCCCCCCTTGCTGCAGTCTGAGCTCACTGGCAGAGATGGAGACTAGCCAACCTTTATCTTCGGAATAACAACTCACCAGGGACTCAGGGCCGGAAGGTCATGCTCTCCCTTCCAATACTGCGCAGCATTCCTGAGCACTCCCAGGTCTGGGGCAAGGAGGATAGGGAAACCGAGGATGGAAATGAAGACCCTGGTCGACAGTGGCAAAAAAATCCCCCACAAAACAAAACATACACGCAAAAAAGCCAGACAATACTACACTTGAAGATGGAGACAAGATGGCTCCCCTCACTTGGGGCGAGGTTGCAGAACTGCCAGACAGTATTTATCGGGACACATCCTAACTAGAAGCTTCTTCTGGCGCCGCGGCCATAGACTCACCCCTCTACTGGGTTCCTCAGCGCCCCCACCCCTGCTTAAATCAGAGAGGGAGCTCTCTCGGAAAACCTCTTGGGGCGCTAGGGGGCAACCACCCACTCCGGCGGGGCTGGACCGCAGAGCCGGAGCGCCCCGCCCCGGCCCGGCCCCTGCGGCGCCCGGGCTCCACCCCCTGACAGGCAGCAGCCAATGAGCGGCTGGCCCCGCCCGCCTTTAAGAACCGCGCGGCCCC